CTGAGCTGAGTTATTGACAGATTCCAATTTCGCGGATCAATAACTCATGAACATAACGTTGTAAAAATACAAACAGCATGACTTTACAAGCAAGATAGGCAACGAGTCGTTTTTATCAGAACAGTTCGATACACGCCGTCATCCGAGCTAAACATCAAGAATTGGTCACAATCTGCAGCTTGAGGAGGGAGAGGAGTGCTTAGGGACCGTCTACAAACTGCAACGGGGTTTTGCGAGATCTCGCGAAACATTATTTTTTTTTTCAAATCAAATTTTTTTCCTTCTCCATGTCCCCTAGGGGGCTCCGTAATTTACAAAGTCGTTTTATTGATTTAAAATGACATGCATCCGCTAAGAAAAATAGTCCGTTGTTACCGTTTGAACTACGTAGCAACGGCAGGAACTGCTTCAATAGCGTTTTTGGCGGAGCTTTTGATTACAGATTTGAAAACATCGTTGCTTGCTTTATTATGTCAAACCTTGGAAAGTATCTAGATATTCCTGCCCTAATGCCGAAGTAACTGGCAACTGAATATGTTTTGCCGTTTGATGTCTGGACCATTACGTGAAAAGGACCGCAGCACCGTGTTGATGGTTTCTGCCCCGTAGCTGATCATTTAGTCTTTAAATAGTTTCATAGCCCATAATGTGGTCCGTCTTTTTGCCTCTCTTACTTCTCCGCTGTTTTCTTGTCCCTCTTTTCTTTTTCTTTTCTTCACTGGGGACACATCAGCCAATAACCATTCATCCTGTGCTCTCCAAATATATTAAAATGAATATTAAAATCCTCCATGTTGCTCTCAGACGGGAGACAACGGAAAACTAAAGACAAGAAAACAGTTTGAAAAGCAAACTGCATGCAGTTTGCTTTCCAGCCAAACTGTATAAAGTAAAATCGACTGGAATTCTTTCTGCAGATGTGAGCCTCCTTAACAACGGTCAATAAATCCTTGACAGCGGTCTGTACTACTGGATTAACAACGTGTCACATGTTCTGAATTGACCAATCAGAATTGAGTATTCAACTAAGCCATGTAATGAGTGGGGATAACGCACCAAGAAACTCAGCGATGCACCAGCAAAGACAGTGAGGATGGATTGGATATTAACAATGATAGATTTGAAATGTTTCAATACGTTTTCAAATACGTCATCCGGATAGTCTATACTGTTATTTCAGTTTTTTTGGTCAATTCTGTAGTTTTTGGAATGTATTGCATTTTTCCCAGTGAGACTTTTCTTGATATATTTTCTACAGTGAAGGAGTTTAGTTTGACATGATGCTCAAAATGTACTGCAGATGCATACATTCTGAATCTATTTATTTCTCATTAAGCATGAAATTGTCTACATGGATGACATTTGATAATGTCAGACGCTATAGGCCAGTGTATTGTCTCATGGTTTCTGCAGTCAACTGATGTATTAGCCTACTCTTTACTGCTGTATGTTCCTTCACTTACTTTGTGTTTAATCAGGCCTTTTCTCCTGTACCCTGTGCTTTGTCCCTGTAAGAACCTCGTTTCTGAGGACTCTGCAGGGTAACAACTGGCTGTCTGTGCGGCTAATAGCACTGACTGTTATTTTAACAGCATGGGGCTCTCATTACGGAGGACTGGTAGGAAGCGCCGCAGGGGGGAAATTAGCTGATTAAACTGAGTGATATTGCAAACCAGCCAATAGAGTGGTGCAGGAATGAGTCCTTAACTATAAATGAGTCTGCATTTTTGCACTCCCTCGTCTCGATGTCAACCCTTTTTTTAAACGTGTTTTTTGATAGATGCCTGAAATAAGGTTTGTGGTTAATATAAGCTCAGGAGATATTCATGTTTTGTGCTACAACATAAAATAGGTCAGTAAACTGTTGATATCTGAAGCTTTAACGTGTCTTACAAATGTCAGTTGCTAAAAAGTGACTAAATTAAACGTCTAAACGTAATCATGCCAAACACCTTGGTGAAATGTAATCAATCAATCAGAGTGTATTTATATAGCCCAATATCACACTTTTACATTTGTCTCAGTGGACATTACAGTTTGTAAAAAAAAAAGCTTTTTAGCTAAATTGCATTTATGCTTCAACTTGTATAAAAGCAGTGTCAATATGTGGAGATTATCCTTTTGAACAAAATGTCAAAGTATCATAATTGTGTATTTGACACATACGTTGTTTTCTACAATATTCCAAAAATGTTTTTTGTCTAGGGAGCTATAGTGATGCTAACTTCCGGGTTGCCCTACAAAAATATACCATCACTGCACTACTTTATAACTGCACTAATCTATAACTGCCACAGGTTTCTTAAGACTCCGTCCCTCATAGACACAAAGAGACGTCTAGACAGCTCGGAGGAACCTAAAAAACTGAAAGAAGGGGTGATGTGAAGAGGATAACGATTAGGCATGCACAAGTTTAACAATTCTGTTGACATTTCTAGAGTTTCTTAGCAATATATACATTTTCTTTTTTGGTCATTTTATACAAACAACTTCAAAATGTATAATGAATATTCTAAACGTAATCAAATATAAATCACTAAAAAACACTGAAATCATCAGCATGTGTCTGATGCACTAAAAAAACAATTTGACTAAAAATCTAATAGAAATAGAATATATAGAAAGCAATGGCTTTTCAGAAGGTAGGAAACATTTAATATTTAATTGATAACATTTTCTGATGATTCTCTACATATTTTGTAGGTGTTGAGATTATACAATGGCTGTATGGGTCTTTTCAGGGGAATAGCAGATCATTTTACTAATGGATAACTAAGCAAGAATAAAATATCCTCTGTTACACTCTTTATTGCATCACTTTTTTTTGTGGAGGAACCAGAGCAGTAAACCAAAAGGGAATTACTTTTTTCCGTCAGATTTGCTCAGTCAGGGTGAATGGAGACATAAAGAATAAATGTAAATATAGATTTTATTTTGACATCAAGGCTCTGCTGTGCTCTGTTCTCTTCTCACTACCTGAGAAGCATAATTTAAGTCATCAAAGACAGAGCAGGCAGAGATCAATGCAGTCCACCATGGGGGGCCATGCAGGAACAGAACCACGGGTGGGGGGGCTGTGGCTTGCAGCATATGAACACTGTGTCTTACTGCTAAATAGAGCCCCCAACTGCAGGTGGCAAAACATCATGACTGTCAGCTGGGTCACAGTTTTTCTTTTGTTTCTATAACATTTGAATGAAGTGTGTTTTATAGTTGTGTTTGTTTTAGGCAGTTTCATAGTCTTCTATGGTTTTGGTCATCTTTCCGCAATCCTAACATTATAAGCACCATTTTCAGTGCTTCCATCAGCTCCCACCACTTACTTACGTGAAGGTGAAGTAAATGGAAAAAATATTTGTCAAACTCAGTTATATGTCAACACACCAACTTCCTACCTAAACTTTGATCTGTTGTACCATTCTTACTGTATATGTGTGCAGGCAGATCTCCTGAGCATTGAGAGATTATTGCCATTAACTTCAAATTGAAAATGTTTAGATAATATTTAAGAATATGAGTCATTCTTTGAGGATGCTTTCTGTCACTGTTAGTCTTATAGTCACACTATGTAAATAACCAGCATAATGAGTGGTTAACTTGAGTGAAGCCAGAAGCAAACCAAGATGCATAGCTTCTTCTTCTTTTTTTTAAATATACTGAATCGATTTAGTTTAAATGTTACTGTAATTAATGGAGAGTGTGTATCCATTTTGCCAAATGACTCTAAGTACTGATGGTTGTTTTTACAAAACAGTTTCAACTACACAATAGACTTAAAGGGAAGAGTAAGTGGCTCATAACACAATGTCTGAGAAACTAGTTTGCATAGTGATCATGTTTGCCAACAGTTGCCTATTTACACATAGCAGAAATTAAGTAACCTATTATTTAATCATAGCTGTATTTCGGTTTGTTGAAAAAATGTCCAGAATATACTTCACTTTTTGCTTGGTTTTATCCTTCTCTTTAGCTTCTAAATGCTACAGGTTTTCACGTATTATTCACTAAGTTAGTGCTGAGCACGTAGTGTACTGTAGTTTGTTGGACCTGGAACATTTAAGCAGTTTTTAATCAAAATCTATTTATGTGTGCAACCTTAGTATAAAGTATTGCCTATGTATGCATGGGGTTGAACCTCCAAAATGAGTTGAGGTCCTATAAATTCCAAAGTAGCCCATTGCTGCAATGAACCTGCTAAATTATTCTTGATTCCCTTTCTTCTAGGCTGCTGATCAAAAATGGTAACAGCATAGATGCAGCTGCCCTGTACGATTCATATCAGGTGGAGTATCTTCCCAATGAAGGTCTCCTCAGCACATCCAGGTCTCTCTTCGTTGAGCTAATAACAGACGCTACAGGCACATCTACTGGCATCGCCATCCGATACCAAGGTAAGTAACACCGCTCTGTTACCATGCTATGCTAATGTCATGCTAACGCCATGTGGGGCTCTTGCTTCACTAATTGTATGAATATGGAAAAAAACGTGACAGCACACACTATCACAAAGTATTAATTCATAAAAACTTGTAAATAGTGTAAGCAGAAACAGTCAACTTTCCAACAACTGTTGCTCCTCTGGTGGTATTATTGTCATTGGCGCTATTGCAAAAAACATCTGGGCCTCAGGAAACAACGGAAGAACTAGAAAGCTCAATCTGAGTGCTATAATAAAGGCAGAGTAAATAAACCAGTAGTATTAAGAAAGCAGATGTACTTACTTAATAATAGGCGCAAACAACTTCACGGCGTACTGCCAACCGAAGTCCCCAGCTTGACTCGGCGTTACACTGTGTGGGATCGCTCGATTTGTGTGTCCGTCAAGGAAATCTCGGTCGGCAGCCATGATGGTCTGAAACGACCAATGGACACTCGAGAAATCGCTAAGGACCTCCCCATCAAGAACAAATAATATTGTAAATAGAGAGATTTTCCAGTTTCTTATATTTATATGAATAGTTGGTTGAAAAAAACATATTTATAATAAATTGTTGTTTGAAAAAAAAAGTTTGAATGCTCAATTTTTATTTGTACACATCACATGAACCATAGTATGTAATATGAAGTCATTATTCAGTCCTAATGTATCTCAGTCCCTGTGGTGAAAGTTGAGTGATAAACACCTATTTTATTCAAAATTTGAATTTCATTTGTTTCATTTTAAACATGAATTTACATTTACATTTAAACATTTATATACAGTGTAATTCAAATATTTCACTACTTTTGTGATCCTAAGACAACCGAATTTAAAACACCAAAATAAATTGGATGACATGAGTAAATTTGTGTTTTCACAAGAGTTTCGACAATTTTCCGAAAATCGGATGTCAAATGTTTAGCTTTAGGGCTACTTATCTCATCAAACAGTGCTCTAGGGTGAGTCATTTGCATTTATAGCAAGACCAGAGATTGTCCTGAACATTTTCATATGTAACACTTGGGGTGCCATGTTATAAGAAGTACATTTAAAAGGTGATTTAAGGAAACACCTAAAAATCGAGAAAATAACCTTAGATTCCAGAGGGTTAACTGCATCCTGTAATAATCTCACCAAAATAACAAAGAACTATTCTAAAACACTCAAACAATCCATCCAATAATTCTAGAGACATTTAAAGAAGCCTGGGTGAAGCTTTTTGATGGACTGATGCCATAAAACATAGCTCGCTTTATACCTTAATGTCTCCTCAGATAAATTTGATGCAGGAGAGGGGACAAAAATCCCATTTCTAAATCGAGTTAATCAAAACTAATTATTCACTTCCATTGCTGCTTTTATTTCAGCTTTCGCAATACACAAATTATTGGGTGCATTTTGATGCGTTTTATTTTGTATTTTTCTTTTTTATCTGTTGCTTTTGTATCCATTTAACTGAGTAAGTAGTAATAAATCTTCTCTGCTTTGAAATAAAAATAATCAGGCTTTCAGGGGCACACAATATATTTTCAGCATCTACGTGCATGTGCATATACGTTAGATTTCATACAATTTATTTTGACGAAGTTTCATCTAATAGCTAGGGTGAGATGTATCTTAGTTTCTCTTATCTTTTGCCCTCACATTTGTCTCAGCACTAACCATCAGATCAACAGCTTCTCTCTGCTCTGTGAGGACCACTAAATACAATCAGTGTAATCTGTTTAGGCCTTGGCTTGACTGCCACAAATGGGATTAAGTCTAAAGAGAGCAAAGGACCTCATTATGGCCATTAACAGCACATAATGCTCAGTTAGCCTCCAACAGATGTAATGCTTTCTCCTTTATCCTGACCAACCATTCCCACCCTGGTGAGCGGCCATCAGCATTCATGAATATTCATCTAGCCATTTCTAAATGCCACTCAAGTGTTTTCTTTATTTTAGTTTATGAAAGATTGCACACAATCCTATATTTCCATATGTAGCTATTGCACACAAGACATCCTTATTTTCTCTGATGACAAATTTCTACAAATATGAAAAAAACATTTTGTTTTAGGCTATTTAAATCGTATGACTACAATTCTAGCAGTTGGGGTAACATCATCCTAACATCAGCATGTTAACATGCCTGCTAACATGCTCATCAGACTATGTTTCCATGTTGAAGGTAAACAGTTCATGTTTACCTTCTTCGTTTAATATGTTTGAATGCTGACATCAGAATCAGACTGTATATAACATGATTATATTCAAAAGCATGCACATAGTATATAGTAATCATTACAATTTACAGAAGAACACATTCCACTAGAGAATGGCATTCCTGAAGAAATTCCTAGTGGGAATGCTTTATGCTAAAAAGCTGACGCTAAACTGCTATGCTGAAACGTAGTGTGTAAGAAGAAAGTGAAGAATTTAGATTGAAATGATACATGAACACTGGGGGCTTGAATGTGTGATGAGAGAAGAAAAAAAAGTAAAAAGGTTTTGAAAAGCAGCAGAATATTTGAACTGCAAACTTTGGAACTAACTTGATGGCGAATGATCTGTCGCCATGGCAACAGTATTTGATGACACCCTATAATACGCTTAGATGTGTTGATGGCTGCATCGTTACCAAACTTGCGAAGGTTTGGGCCATTAGGAGCATTTTCACTGAAGTTATTGAGAAAACCGTGTTTCAACCGTGCTGGTTTTGACCCAAAAATTTGCATAGGATTAGGAACGAACATCGTTTTTTTTCCTTTTGGCGAGGGATGCGTTTCCATGGAAAGGCATATGGTAAGTCTCAGAATTTGGCGTGAGCTGTTGAGCCATGGACCGATAATATACAGGTTTTTGAAAGATTTTGGGGGAAACCGATCGGAACCGTGTCCAAAATTGGGAGTTACAGGAACAAAAATCCCGTGTTTTATGGCAAGGGAATGCGTTGCCAAACGGTTAAAAAACAAACCACAATTAATGTAACATCGGGATCTGGAAACGTAGAGCTTTTTTTTTTGTTTCAGGGTTTCACAAGTTTTTAACCAACATTGTGAATGTTTTGGTGGCGTTCTTTGGAAGCATCCTTCAGTTTTTTGGGGGAAAAGTTATTGGAACATCCAATCAAACCAAGGTTGNATATGCTTAGATGTGTTGATGGCTGGATCGTTACCAAACTTGTGAAGGTTTGGGCCATTAGGAGCATTTTCACTGAAGTTATGAGAAAACCGTGTTTCATAGCGAGCATTATGTTGCCATGGCAACGCCATTTGAAGAAATTCCAAAACTGTCACGTAGATGTCTACACGGCTGGACTGTTAGCACACATGTGAAGTTTGAGCACTTTTTGACCATTTTCATAGGAGTTATAGGAATATCGTGTTTTACGGCGAGGGATGCATTGCCATGGTAACACCACATTAAGTAACATCAGATTTGAGAGCTGTTCAGGGCCAGTGTTAACCATCATGTGATGTTTGGTGGCGTTCTGAGCATGTCAGTTGGAGTTATGACATCATCACACAGGTTTTTGTGTTTGAGGTGACAACGTTATCAAACACCTGTGTGTGTGTCCAGAGATCGAAGGTTACCATGGTGATATGCAGTAATCAGTGAGAGGAGAGCCTTTTCATTGTTCTGAATGAGAGATAAACCTCTTACATGTGAACGTTTTGTTGAAGAACCGTAGCAGATATCGGCATACTTGCCAACCTTGAGTTGAGCCCTCAGAAATCGGGAGCATTTCAAAATGCTAATATGGAAAAAATGGGGGGGGGGG